TGATAATATGCTGAAACATTTTAATTTTAATAAATAAAAAAAAAAAATAATTGTAAATAAATGTATAAATTTAAAGTTTCTTAAGTATGTACAATTTTCGTAGTATAACATATAATTTTTGAAATAAAATACCTAGCTACTTATAATACTTAGCTTACTCACGTTTTTTTTATATTTATAGCTTAATGACGAAACTAAGCCTTTTCTGTCAATTTTATTTTGTCTGTAGTCTTCATATATTTGTTGAAAAGTTTCCAAACGAATTTTATTTTTAGTAGAATTTCGTTTTTTAAGATGTATACTTTTAATTTTAATCAATGTTTCGGTTTGAAATCCTTTCAGTACATCCAAAAAGTGGTAAATAGTAGGATGTGGGTGATAGAACTCGGAATTGAAACGTGAATGATATGATTCGCAAGCATTAGTAGTGAGAGATAGTGACGCGATATTCGCAGCCCAAATTATTGGTGGAAATTTAGCCTCTTCACAGATATATGTGTCAACTAAATAATCGGCATATTTTTGAAATCTTATGTCATTAGGAATCGATGACATAAAATCTTCAATAAAACAGTTACTGACTTCATTTGGAGAAATAAATGGCAACCCAAATGTATGGTTTAGCCACTTGCTTTCTTCTGTTTTATTGTTTTGATATACGTTGGATAATCCTAATTCCTGAATTTTTCTATACCACGACTGAGTTAGGTGAAATCTACAACCAAATATTTTAGTGTCATCCCAGACTTGTCTCAATGCTACATGAATTGCTTCTTCAAAATCAGATATAAATAAATTTGGTTTTAGAGAAAGTTCACGTGCATTACACAAATGTATGATATTTTTAAATAAATTTACGTAAGTTGAAGTTTTTTTGTCTGGAAGTAATGCAAATAATAGTGGTATATAATGATCATTGCATAAACCATGCAAAGAAAACAATTGCGTAAATAACTTGGGACAATATTCAAAAGTTCCATCCATATATATAATCTCAGATTCGCATAGAACTTTTAAATTTGTGTCACATGAAAATATTATTATATGACAGTTCGGATCATTTATTAATAAAAATTGCTCATTGAGGTCCGTTTTCAAATTTAAATTGCTTATACTATTTTGCAATTCTTCCATTGTTTTAGGTAATGGTGGCACCATTTTTCTACGGGCGTTATAAATATTACGTCGAACTAGTGATATATCATCAGTAGTGATAGTTTGTAAATTAGATATATTTTCAGAAATTTCAGTTCGTAATATCTTACTTGGTTTAGTATACAGATTTTCCACAGCTTTTCTCTTACATCCGTTTGAAAACATTTTTCTGTCTATACTTGGTTGATCATGCCCGTTATGTTCATTTACAATTTCAACTATTTCTACAATATTTTCTATAGAAGTATACACTTTTGCAGTGCAAGTTCTGACAGTACAACGCCATCGTACTGAAGCATTTTTCGATTCATGCACTTTGCGATACGTAAAATTTGAAAATAATAATAAATCTTTACCTCTGGTGCTTTTAATAATTTCACCAATATTTGTACTATTTTCCATTACTTATATTTTTATAAAATTTTAAAATAAAATAAATAACATGAACGCACACGCGATTTATATCGGACTAATTGTAAATATCACGATTCGCGACATTGCTGTTCAATATTAACAATATGTAACAATAGATTGAAAATTTTCGTTAGATTAGACGTAATCTAATAGAGATGATATGTCTATTATCAGTAGAACACAACAATATTATATTGGATACACGTCGATACGTATTATTGACTATTGTATATCCTATGTGATTATTTCAGTAAATTTATCTGGTAAATTCCAGCAATACTGAAGTTAAAAGTGTGGCGCAAATTACATATTCCTTTTCGTTTTCTGTCGTGGCGCAAATTACCAAAATTAATTTGTATATGTGGCGCAAAATACATGTTATGTTTTTATATTTTGGCGCAAATTACATACGTCCTTAAATGTACCTTTTGATGGCGCAAATTACAGGTAATTAAAATGGCGCAAAATACCATCTCCCATTATTTATATTGATAGGTAAAACTAGTTTTAATTAGGGAATAGTAGAAACATTTAGTAGATATTAAGTAATTATTAAATATAGACTTTTATTATATTATTTATTTCGGCAGGACAAACTATCATGGCATTTAGAATTACATTGAATTTTATTTTTTTTACATAAACAACGATTTGTTCCGCAGGATGTTTTGCAAGTGCATTTTACAAAGCCTTGCCCTGAGCCCGTTGATGTTTTTGTTGCGGCTGCACGGAGGGAAATATGATTTTTTGGAATTTGATTCTCTGTGATAAATTTTTCTTTACATGTCATAAATTCAGACCTGAAAAATTTTTTACTGATTACTTACTAATTACTAATTTTATTTTATTTGGTAAATAAAAAGGTGATAATGGACGCACCTACAATAAAGTTTTTTTAAAATTCCATCCTTACATCCGTTTCTATATAGATCGTTCTCTGTTTTTTTAACACTATTCCGATGAGATTAGGATGATCTGTTTTGCCTTTGTCAACATCTGGAATGCGGATTACCACGTTGACACCAACATCAACAGCAGGAAATTTGTTTTCGGATCGAGTTATCATTCGAGTTGCCGGTTTCTCCAAATTTGCATGAGCTTCTTTTCTAGTTGCATCTATGGTATCTGAAACTTATCAAAGAAATATATCATGTTTATGCATTTATTAGATTTTTTGGTCGCAGTATGAACTATTTATAAGGCTACGGTTACTATGTATGCGAGTTCTGACGAATAATTGTTCTGACAAATTCGTCCTCAGAACAAAGCGGTTACTTTATGCGCGTTTTTCGACATTCTGGTGGTCAGTATGTTTCTGTCACCCAGCAAAGATGGACGAACTTGATGAATTGTATTTTCTTGAAATTCCGTTATTGAAATTATTGTTGTTAAATGGTGGAAAAACAGAGCATGTCAATGAGTTATTTTCTAGAAGAGACGACAAAGGAGAGTTTGAAATGTTATTTCAAGAATTGTGGGATCAACCGGTAAAGTTTTTCGAGTATTTCAGGATGAAACCAGAAACATTTGAATACATACTGGAGAAAATAGAAGAAAGCATTACAAAGTTCTCCAATTTTCGTAAATGTATTTCAGCAAAACAAAGACTGGCTGTAACTATAAGGTAAGAAAAAATTAACAATATTAAATTCTTTACTTCAATAAAAAGTCGAGATATTTATAAATTTAATTTTTATTATTTTTAATTGTTTTAAATATAAATGAAAATACAAATAGTCAAGTGAAATAAAATATGCAGAAAAATTGAACACATCGCACTTACATTTTTAATGTTTTATCGCTATTTATGGTGTTACACTTGAAAAAAACGAAGCAAGATCTTCATGTTGAGTAGTACTCAGTGGAGTTCCCACTTGTGAAATCCAACTACCACTCGTTGATGAACTACATGATGATACACTTGGTGGTGGACGGTGGGTTGGCTGTAGTGTATGCTGACCTCTGAACTCCCCTAAAAGATCCTCTTCGCAAAACACTTGTTGCAATTTAGTCCTCACAAACATTTTTCTTTCTTCTGGTATTTTCCTCAAATATGGCAATAAGCTCATGAGAAAATGATAATCTGGATCTTCGTTTCGAGAAGCTGAATTCTTTTCTTTGAAAAATTGTAATTTTTGTTCTTCGAGCATCATCAATTGTTTAACCGCATTAGCATTATTCATTTTGGCAACTTTTTTCTGAGGAGCACTTAAGTTTTGTGGTGGTGTAGTATTCGTTGTGTTTTGAGGAGATTTTATCATCAGGTTTTCATTATCGGGATCATCAGGATCATCGGGATCAGGAGAAAAAGTAGTAGTTGAATTCTGGGTGTCTACATCAAATGTTGTCTCACTCGAAACATTACCCTGCAATAGTCTTTTTTGAAATTGGTCCTTCAAAAATTCCATGCTTTTAAAATGGACCCATCTAGACTCTTTGATGATTCCTCCTTCGTCTCCACTCCGTTTTTTAGGATTCTTGCTCAATTCCTTGCGAAACGTGTCCCTCAGACCTCGCCATTTAGTTTTGGCTGCTTCGCCTAAAATTAGTTGAAAAAAAATAATTCACCAATGACTTTAATTTTGACCAAAAAATATGTTAGCGTATTGAATTATTGTTGTAATTGATATGTTGTATATATTATATTTATATTATTTTATGTATTTTTTTTTTTATGTTTTTTTTTTATTTTAATTTTAGATTTTTATCAACTGGGATATCATTTCGTTCACTAAGCTTCTCCTACAGAATTTCACACTGTACTATTCGAAACATAGTTTACGAAGTATGTCAAGCTATATGGGAGTGTTTCTGTGGTAAACATATGTCTTTGCCTACTACAGAGAAATGGAAAACTATAGCGAGTGACTTCAACAAAAAATGGAATTTCCCTAACTGCATCGGTTGCATAGACGGGAAACATATTCGCGTGAAATGCCCTAAACAAACAGGATCGATGTATTTTAACTATAAGGGCTATTATTCTGTCGTATTGCAAGGAATATCTGATGCAAATTACAAATTCATTGCTATTGAAGTCGGGGCTTACGGTAAACAAAGTGATGCGGGAACATTTTCAGATTCAAATGTTTATCAACGGCTTGAAGCAAACACTTAAACATACCAGAGAATGAAAATATTCCATTAACTGACATTTCAGCACCTTTTGTTTTGTTGGGTGATGATGCCTATCCTTTAAAAACAAATTTGTTGAAACAATATTCAAGAAAAAGACTCACTATTGAAGAACGTATTTTCAATTATCGATTATCGAGAGCTAGGCGATGCGTAGAATACTAGAATGTGCCTTCGGTATACTAGTAGCCAAGTGGAGATGTTTAAAAACTGAGCTACAAATCGATCCTGATAAAGTAGACATTGTAGTTAAATGTGTTTGTCTTTTGCATAATATAATCATTGATAAGGAAGGTCTTACATCCTTTGATTTTCCTGAGGTGAGCTTTGAGCCCCAACATAATGTGCCAATTTCACGGAGATATAATCACTACGGAAGAATCGCGAATGAAACTAGAGAAACTTTGAAAAATTATTTTGGTAGTCCAGCAGGTGAAATCCCGTTTCAATACAATCTACTGTTGTAATCAAAAGCTTCAAATTTATTTTAATTTATTTTGTAATAAAAAATAATTTTTTTAACGGATTATAGTTGTTTTTTATGTTGTTTTCTATTCTATTTACTATGCTGGACAACCGACACAGGCACACACGCTCGTAATTTTTGTCGATAACATACAAAATATCATGGATATTGTCATCTATTATTAGATATATACATTCATATTTAACAAAATAAAATCTAATAAGAACTGGTATTTATCACTTCCCATACTTTTTGGAAAATAATATAACACGAGTTGCGACATACTGATATGCATTGAATACAATTGAATGGTTATAATAGCGTATAAAATAATATAATATGAGTAAATAAATACCGTTTTAAAATAATTGGTTTTTTGTGACTTGTTTTAAAAATATTAGTATATTCATTTCAATATGATATTAAATTAAAAATTGTACTTACTGCTAGTGTTGAGTTCTGTAGCAACTTTCTCCCACTTTTGCCGAGAAATATCTCTGTTGTGGTAATTTTTTTCACTCATGTCCCACAAACACCTATTCTCATATACGAGACTGATTAATTTATCGGGATCCATGGTTCAAATAAACAAATAAATTGTGATAATTATATAATTATATAATAATCAAATCTCGACAAAACAGACGCAATTCGGACGAAATAATCAAACTTGTTTGAACGCTCAACTGTTTCTGACGACGTCGTGTATGTTGTGACGTACTCAACGCTACCAGTGTAAACAATCTCATTAGAAAACATGCGTTTGTTTGTTTAGACGAATACGTCAGAACTCGTCAGAACAATTATTCGTCAGAACTCGCATACATAGTAACCGTAGCCTAAGAATCTATGTTTTAAGTTTTTAATCTTTAACTATAAAAGTTGAATTTTTTAACTAAAAAATAATTTGAAAGTTTTCGAAAAATATAGGTAGTTTTTAAAGTATAAAATACGTAAATAAAACATTTATTTTAACCGCTAAAAAAAAAATAACTGCAAAATAAACATGAATATTATCTAAACTTAATAGGTACCTATAATTTAAAAAAAAAAAATAAATAATAATTTTTACCTGCAGCTTCCTGTTCAATCGTATTTTCACTTGCAGTTTCAGTACTTATAAGATTTTCAAGTTCATCTTCGACGTTTATTGTAGCAATCAATTCATCGGGCAGGTTAGAGGTTACAAGCCCCACTCTTAGATCAACCCCAAACATTGCTTTATAAGGCGTCATATTTATCCCGGCGTGGTGTGCTCTATTTTTCATGAATTAGACAAACTTTAATCCGATAGACCAATTAGTTGATTTATTGTCTGTCATCCAAGAAGCAAGAATTCACTCCACGTCTTGGTTAGCACGCTCTACTGAGCCTTGGCTTTGTGAATGCCTAGGCTTTCCGTGAACAATTTTTACCTCTGGCCATAGTGCTGTCAGCTCTGTAATCACATTGTTAACAAATTCTCTTTCATTGTCTGAATGCAAAAGAACCGGAGCACCAAAGGTTAAAAAAATGTCTAATACATGGCTTGCAATTTCTTATGCACGCTTGGTTTGCAAGGGGCGGAGCAGAACGAATTTTGTATGATGATCTTGGTAATTAAGTATAAACTTAAACTGTGCATCGGGTTGCGACTGCATGTCTATCAAATCTATTTGGCACGTTTCACAGAGGGACAAATAAATATTTATCATGTCAGTGGTGATATTGGCGTACTTTCTTGAAGTTTCAACTTTCAGACGATCTCTTCCTCCATACCCTACAGCGATGTGTGACAAATCAATGATATCAAAAATGTTTAGTGTTAAAAAAAAAAAAAAAAAGGCTTCTATAATTATTCTTCTTTTCAAATTCTAGGTATAGCAAAAATATCTCATTTTATTTATTTATTTTTTGTATAGTTGATCAGACAAATCTTGAATATGATAAAAACTCAAATAATAATGTTATTAAAACTGCCAGTGATGTGAGATATGAGATAAAAGCAACTGATCTTGAAATTGGTAATTACTGCATGCAATTTTATACAAGCTATTAAACAATCAAAAAAGTTAATATTTCTTTTATGATTATAGATAATGGAATTTCAGAAGTTATGATAGAGATACCTCAATATGCCATCAATCCATTACCATCGACCAGAACCCCAGAACCTTTTAATTCAGTTTCAAAGGGTTAGTGTAATAAATAAAATAATATTAATCATATAACATCCATTTCATTATTACTTAAGACGCATAATTAACTGCACATAAAATAATAATTAACCATTTATTTTTCACTTAATGCATATTGTGTCGAGAATAGAATAGTTATATTTTTTATGTTGTCCAGGAACTATAGAATTTGAAAAATAAGTGCTTCATAGGCTAACATTTTTAAAATTTGAATTAAAGCGAGCTGTCAATAACCAACGAGATATGGCACAAAGACTGGAGACAATAGAAACTAGACTTGAAAATATTCCATCATATGATATTTTCAATTGTAACAACAATGAATCATCTTCTTTAATTGATAAAGATTTCAATATACCTCTTGACAATATAATTGATCTTGAAATCTTTAAAGACAAAATTTCTGGCAATAAAGAATTTCGTACTCAGTTGGTAAGCACTGATATAATGAATATTTTTTGTATCTGGTATTATAATATGTTTAGTACTAAGTAAACAGAAAATATTTCTTTTATTTGAATGTATACTAATTTTTTTAGGTAAATGAACTTTCATACATCGGCGGTAAACATGTTAAGGCAAAGATCAAACGGGTGATGGGAAAATTGTTTAAAGATGAATTATTAAAAGATTTCTCATACACTGGAAAAAACGGCAAAAAAAAATTTTGCAGTCTGGGTTGTACTTCTGTGATTTTTGGTAAGATATCATTTTACTATTACATTTAATATATTATGATAGATTTCAAGAATTTCAGTTTGGATATTTATATATATTTATAGTTATTAGTATTATTATAATCAGAAATAATGAAATGATTAACACTTGATAAAATATTCTTCTAATTTTTTAATTATATATATGTACCTATAAAAATTACTATTGTATTATCTTCTATAGGTACCTTTTTAAAGGACCATAACACTCAAAAAAATAAGTCTATTTTAAATTATAATATCAAGTGAAATAAAAACAGAGATACCTCTAAAAACTGTGAGCGTCTAATATTTAGCCAGTTATGGGCATTTGAATAAAACGCGTGACGTCATAATTTCGCCGCCGCCGATTACTGTATACACGATTTTACGGGAGTAATAAAGCCAGAGACACACTATTATCACGTCACGTGAGCTCACGTGCTATTTCATTAACTCACGTCACGTCACATCACACAAATAATATGTGAAACCTATTAATGCATACTGTTTTAATATAATTAGAAACACATTAACCCCCACTCACGTGATATTGAAATATTTCATTGATCATCACGTGATATCACGTTTTTATTTTTCTGTCGTTTCACATATTTAATATTACGGGACTTCACTTTTATTTCGATTTGGTGAAATTGAAGTTTGAGTTTTAAACCAATTTATGAACTATTTTATTAAACATGGAAGAAAAATTAATTGAACAAGTTAGAGTTCACGAAGTTTTATATAATTGTAAATTGAGTAGCTATAGGGACCAAAATATCCGACAAGAAGCCTGGGAAGAAATCGAAAGGGAATTGCAAATGCCAAGTACACACACACACACATTTATAAATAAATTAAATAAATAACAATTTATAGATAAAATGAATTTGTTAAGTTATTTGCAAGTTTTATACTTAAATGATTTTGAAGAATGATTGAATTTTGCATAACATATGGTATTCTATAATAAAATGGCACGTATTTAACAGTGATCTCACAGTCGAACATGGATAAAATGTCTATTTTTACCTTGGTTAGTCCATACCGTAGACCTAAAGTTAATAGGTCTATTGTCCAAACTACCATCTTTGTCTCGGAAAATTTTTCGATGTATTTAAAAATATATATTATTTACATCTGTATATTATTATTTTTATTATTATTATTATTAAGTATTTTGGTACGTATTTATCAACGACGACATTTTCATTATAACTGTTGATTATTGATTAACTCATCGTTATTCAAAATACGGATCACAAGAAATATTTTTCATATAAATAATAATTCATATATCTAATAAATTTAAATAAAATTATTTAATAACATGGTTTAAAATGTTGTATAATTTTTTAATGTATTATATTATTACAAAATAATAATATGAATTATATTTTACTAGGTATTCGTAAATTTATTATACAAAAGTATGATATAATATTTTATTATTAAATTAATTAAGTATTTAAATTATTAAAGAGGGAAAAAATAATTGTATTAGTCATTATCAGCTTGAAGTCGACCCCTACGAACATAATTTAGTTGCCAAGGTACACTACCAGCAGCGGAGTTAAAATAGTTTTTAAAATTTTCTCGTATGTCAAAAGCTTCTCGCGTACAATTTCTTCTTATACCACTTATATTTTGCATGCCCAATTCTTCATTTGGTGATATATCTGCATCAGGATCTATATTATCTGTACATAACATATTATGGAGACAACAGGCTGCTAATACGATTTTTTCAGCCAATTCTGGTTGGACCTCTAATGATTTTCGAAAACATCTCCAACGTGCTGCCAATATTCCAAACGCATTTTCCACCACTCTTCTACCTCTAGATAGCCTGTAATTGAAAATTTTGTTTGGTTCATTTCCTCCTAAATGGCACCTACTATAGGGACGAAGTAAATATCGTTTGAGAGGAAATGCTTCATCACCGAGAATGACGTATGGCTGTGGTAATCCATTCGTAACTAAAGGAACGTATTCGGGTACATTCAATGTTTTATTTTCCAACATTTTTCCAATATTTGATTTTGAAAAAATTCCAGCATCGTTGTTCCTCCCATAAGAACCTACATCAATTGCTGTAAATTTATAGTCAGCGTCAACAAGTGCTAATAGCACTATTGAATGGCAACCTTTATAATTATAAAAAGTAGTCCCGGCATTAATTGGGCATTGTATATTAATATGTTTCCCGTCGATCGCCCCGATGCAATTGGGAAAATTCCATAACGTATTGTACCTTTCTGCGACACCTTTCCAAAAAATGTCTGTGGGTTGAGGCATTACAATAGGTCCTAATCTTGTCCATATAGCATCACAAACTTCAATAACTATTTCTCTGACGATACTAAATCCCATCCTGTAGTTAAATGCAATGCTTCGAAAGGAATTTCCAGTTGCCAAAAATCTAATAAATGTATAAATTGTTTAAAATACGACTTAAAACATACGTTAATTTTGAATGTTGATAGGTATATCATATTTTATTATATTTTCACTTTCATATTCAATAATATTCAGCAGTAAAAACTTTAATGTCCATATTTATATAATTATGTTATTCTTAGCGGAAAAGGCAAAAGATTTATGGGATAAATTGAGAAGGTGCTTTTGCAACGCAGTGAGTAGACGTCGCGATAAGAAAAGTGGACAGGCTGCAAAAAAAATGACTCCATGGAAATACGAAC